CCACCCCCAAGGCTGTGGAGCAGCCCCTGGGGAGAAGTCCCAGGCTGGACTCTGCTGCAGAGGACTCTGAGACAACTGGGCACAGGAGCTGGATTCTGGAACTCGGTTCAGGAGCACAGGGCTCGGGATCAAAGGCAGGATGGATGGAGTCCTCCTCAGGGGCAGCCACTGCAGGAGCAGCCGAAGCCAGCAAGAAGGCAGAAGGGAGACGGAAGGAGCTTGACCCTTGTGATCCTTCAGCTTTTATACTATGAGGGATATGGGATGGAATACCCCACTGGTGAATTTTGGGGTCATTTGTTTTGGCCTCTCCTCCCTGCAGGCGCAGCTTTACTTTCTGCCCCCTCCATGTGGTACACAAGCTGAGCAGTGACCTTGGGCTGCACACCAGTCCTTGGCAGTAACTCTAAACATGGAGTGTTATCACTGCTAAAAGTGGACAGTCTGTGAAAACATGCTGCCAAACTCCGTTAATTAGTTAGAAGAAGCTTTAGCTGAAAAGTAAACTCACTGAACAGAACCAGCTCTGTTCTACCCCAAACTAGGACAGCTTACTCTGAGCCTAATTCTTGTCCAGCCAGTGCGTGTGAAAAAAAAAATATGCTTTCTCATTAAAGAGTTTAAAATAAATTGAGAAATCATCATGTAGGCTCAACCACCTGGTGCTGGCTTGGTTAACACATTTTGGCCCTTTATCAACTGTGCCATGAATTGCTATGCATGACAGTATGACAGAAGGCACGGGTTTAGCTCTGGTAGGATTTAATCTCATACTGGAAATTCAAACCAGTACTTGCATCAGAAGAGGGCCTAGTGTTAACAAATTTATTTTGATATTTCCAGTGAAAATCTTCTGCGTGTATTTGTCACTGATGAAGGAAAAGAGAGAAAAAAAATAATATTTACGGAATAGTATAAATGTTTATTTTTCTTTGTGATTTATCTGACTGTTTTATTTGTACAACATAGAAAAGTGTATTCTTTGAATAGGTTTAGTAAATATAAATTGATTTTTTCTACTTTTAGATGTAAACAGAGCTAGAAAATGAACCCTTGTCCCATTCTCAATTATTTTTATGTAACTGGATGAACTTGGATGCAAATCTTGTCCAGCAGTTTGATGCAAATGGCTAAGGAAGTACAAAAAACAATTCACACATCCTACACCAGGGAGAGGGAAGAGAGGAATCTAAGCTTAATATTTGATAAAGCTTGTTCAAAACAAAATAGAAGAACTAAGAACATTTGATTGCACCTTCAAAGTCTTTACAAGCAAAATATTCTCAAACAATACCATCATACATAATTACAACTGTAATCTAAATTTCACAAGTGTTTTTGCACGCTGTATATAAATACACATCACAAAAGGTGCAATTTAGAGTAAGACAATGGAATATATACAGAATTAACATGGACTGAAGTCTAAACAAAAGAAAGCATATTGCAATCTGAAAAATAACGTAAGTAGGTATTACTTTATTCACTTACACTAATTTACATTTATACAAATCTTACTGGACATAATATATTAGGGCACTAGAAGTAAACTGAATATCTGGACTATCTACATGTAAAGTTACTGCACTGATTTTTTAGTAAATCCAGGTCCTAATTCTGAACAAAAAGGTATTTCCTTATGTGAGAGGTGGATTCCCTTTTCAGAGATTTGCACTTAATATTTATGCTCAGGGAGATGTTAATAGCAGACAGGGCTAATGCAAATAGCAGATGGTGACTGGCAGGTCAAGCCTGGTCTGCAGTGGCCACCCAGCAGCCCGCCACTGCTGCCCCCACCTCCCGGCCCCTTCGCGCCCCCGAGGCATTTTGAGGAGGTGCCAGAGAAGGGTCAAGGAGACGGGGCTGGGGCCTTTGCCTTCTGAGCAGTGCACAGGACCACGGGGTGAAGACAGGAGCAGAAGCATCCTCCTATCCTATTGCCATCACACGTGTAGGCACTTGGCTCTGCTGCTGGTTTGCCTAGCCCCTACCTTTCCCCAGCCTGGCCCTGCTGGGTAACCTGGAGGAGGAGCTCTGCTGCACTTCTCTGTATTAGCAGTTTTACACAAGGAATACAGAATCCCTTTTGGAAAAACCTACCTAGTTCAAGCTGCAGCGAGGCAGCTAATAAATATACCTGTGATTAAACATGGTTATTGACATTCATGGCAGCTAAGTAACCTACCAGGTTAAATTTGCAAATGTGTTCCACTATCAAAAATGTGATCTGAGATTGCCTGTAACAAATAGTGAAAAAATCCCCTGCCTGAGTCTATAGATAACTAAAGATGACTCCCCACGCCCCCCCTGCTTTGTGTAAAATGATCCATGCACCTGTTTTGGTAGCAATCCTGATTCTGTGCTAGGATCCTCTCTGATCACGACTCTCTCAGTCATTCTGAACAACAATACAAGAAACACCTTTCACCAAATAAATTGCCAACATACGGAGAAAGAGCATCCTGAAGACCCACAACCAGGTTAAACATGATCCCTACCTGAGTTTGCAAGTCAGTTTGGATGCAGATTGTCTCGAGTCCTCATTAAGACAACTGTAGTTCCACCGTTGCCCATGACCACAGCTTCTCAGACAAACACTTTTCCAGGGTTACAGCTTGATCCTAGAAAACAACAGATTGCACAGCCCTACCTCCAGTAAGGGATTAGGCTGCTGCAGGCCTCTGAAATAAAACAAGCTTCGGCTAAGCAACAGCATCCATCTGCTGCACACTTAGATCTAACACTGCACTGGGCAGACAGTCTGGCATTGTGGTGTGCCTGCTATTCCTCATTTCTGAGGATAGGCCACTGTCTTAGCCTTCAAGTTCCAGTTTAAGAAACATCTGAGCTCCCAATCACATTCCTATAAAAAATTTCCCATTAATTCCATTTGCCTCTAAACTCCTTGGGCCCTACTCCAGTGAGATTTTCCACCCCTTGCCCAAAGCTAAATCTGCAAGCAATCCCTCCGTATTATTGCCTGTGTATGTCACAGTGCTCCATGCACCAAAGGAATGTGCTGTGTCAGGTCCTAAATGTCAGTATTACCTTCCATTTAGATGCTCATTTTTACACACATCCTCTCAGAACGATCTTGGATGGTGTCTTGGATGCACTGATACCTCCTTGTTACAGACCTGCCGCCAAAAACATCACCTCTGTTTTCCTGTATGCACATAAGTGATGCAACTCCATATACTGTAAATAATATATATTATAATAATTTATATATGATCTTCAGGCAATTACTGTGGGGGAAAGGAGAGAACACATCTAATTTTTAAGAAACCCAAGGTAAAAGCCATACATTAGGAAGAAGATCTGACCTTTAGGCATTGTCTTAAGTAGAAGAGGATCTAGCTAAGATTTAAAATGCTTTACATCTTGTTATAAAAGATTTTTTTGTTTCAATGTTATGCAGGTCAATTTACAACAAGCACCAAATTAACAAATATTATTAAATCCTCTATGCCAAACCAAAGTGTCCTTGTGCCTTAAGTGTTCTGTTCAGTCTGCTTTGCTGTGGCTCATGTGCGTGAGTCAGCAGTTTATAGCACAAGGGTCACTTTTGGATTTCCCTGCAGAGTTAATAACTCTCATCAAGCAGCGTCCAAACTCCTCCAGGATCATGCGCTCTGCTGCAGCCTTTGTCTTGCCCATCTTCTCTGCTTGCTCTGCCTGGGCCAGGAGGCATTCGCAGGTTGCATCGGCCACCTCCTTGGTTACAAACGTAAAGGGCAGCCTGAAAGAAAGACAGGTCCACTCACTCAGTAAAAACCACAATGCACCTAACTCCAGGGCTGCAGTTCTTGGTACAAGGACTGATGAGATTTCACCTGTTCCACTGCTCCAAAGAGCCTTTAGACAACCAGCTGAGGCTGAATAAGCCACAGTTACAGTCAAATGAACTGGTGGACCACTGTGCTTTGGTGCCTGCCTCCATTCATGTGCATTTTAAAACAGACTTGGAAATGCTCAGGTACATAGAACAATTCTCCAGCTTCTACTGTAACGGCGGCTCAAGGATTGCACCTCCTCAGTAAACGGGACACTTGTACTTCATAGAACACAGGATGGTTTGGGTTGGAAGCGACCTTAAAGATCACCTAGTTCCAAGCCCACTGCCATGGGTAGGGCCACCTGCACTACACCAGGTTGCTCAAAGCCTCATCCAGCCTGGTCTTGAATATATCCAGTGATAGAACATCCACAACTTCCCTGGGCAGCCTGATCCAGTGTCTCACCGCCCTCATACAGTGAAGAACTTCTTTCTTATATCTAATCTAAATCTACCCTCTTCCAGTTTGAAGCTGTTATCTCTTTTCCTATCACTACAAGCCCTTGTAAAAAGTCCCTCCCCAGCTTTCCTGTAGGACCCCTTCAGATACTGGAAAGCTACAATAAAGTCTCTCTGGAGCCTTCTCTTTTCCAGGTTGAACAACCTCAACTCTCCCAGCCTGTCATCACAAGAGCTGTGTTCCAGCCCTCTGATAATCTTCTTGGCCCCCCTCTGGACCTGCTCCAACAGGTCTTTGTCTTTCCTGTGTTGGGGGCTCCAGAGCTGGATGCAGTACTCCAGGAGGGGTCTCAAGAGCAGAGCAGAGGGGGAGAATCACCTCCTTTAAGCCTTCATGCTTTCTGTGAGCACATGGGCAGCCATGAGAAGACAATGCCTAGTTACGTGTGTGAACACAGCTTAAACTTGGCATCCCCTAGGTTCCACAGAGAGCATGGCTGCATGAACAAAAAGCTCCATTCACCTGAGCTCTCCTACAGCTTATGCAGATAACAGGGACAATACTTATCACATACATCAGAAAAAAACCCAAACACATTAGAAACAACTGAATAAGGGTGCTGCATTAACTTACTTCCCACCACCACTGCTCAGTGCTGGTGTTGGCCTTGTCAGCAGATCTGAGATCTGGGAAGATAACTTGGTCTTTGCAGCAGTCTGCTGCTGGACTCTAACTTCTGCAGCATCTGCTAAATGCATCAATGTCTTTCGCTCTGGGCTTTCTTCAAAATTTTTACAGCCAATGCATTTGCATATGGAAGAACACATGATTTTTGCCTGAAAGAAACAAACAAAACATGAGAAACTTGTTGCAACCTTGACTCCCTTTATGACAAGCCACAATGAAAAGGAGATATTGTTTTAATCTCTTATCAATCACCCACTAGACGAAACTCCCAACTAGGAGTTTTCTTTCTAAATTCTCACCTCAAACTGAGATGCCTTACCAGAATGTATACTTGAAACAAATGCCAATCAATGGTTTCCTGCTCATCCCCTTCTTCACCAAACTACTGTTTCCAGGCTATAAGAGAGGTCAATCTGCCACTGTCTCTACATCCACAGACTGATCAGTTAGCTGATGCGAAACAACTTTTGCTTTTATCTTCCACAGATATGTTGTATCCCAGAGCATCTGTGGGATGCTGCTTCAATTCCTCTCAGGGACTTGATACATTAGATTTCCTTAGGGAATACTGCTTATCAGTAAAGGACAAATATAAGCCTCAATTCAAAGTTGCTAGATGGTTTAAAATTAAACTTGCACAAGAGAAGTGATCAATTTTGCCATGTACATGGCTTTCTACATGCAAACTGCTGGGAGAAAAGATAATATTATAGCTATAGAAAAGAAAACATTCTAGCAATACAAAGAAGAGACAAAGCAAATCAGAGAAGTCGCAGAACTAGAGGGGGAAGCCACCAGTATCTTGGTGATGACACAATGCTTCATACCTCGTAACATTCACAGTAGTTTTTGAGACATCCCGAGCGTTTACAGTTACACCCTTTGCTGTGTCTTCGATCTGATTCTCCTTCCTTTCCTTTCCCTATTTTGGGCTTGAAGGCTTCAGGGTTTCTGTCAAGGCAGGCCTGTCAATGCAAACCCAAAGGATCAGTCACTGTGTGCATGCAGCGAGCAGAATTTAGTGGTGCAATAAAATAAATTAAGCTTTGCACGTACGGGAGGAGATCAGGGCTTTATACACCCTCTCTGCCCCATGCCGTAGCATCAGAAGAGAATCTAAACAGCTTTCAAACTGGGGAAAGAGGCCCCTCACCTTTATTGCTTTTTGCCTGTCATTTTCATGGTCCAGGTTGTTGTAACAATTTGTACAGTTGCAGTTGTTGCAGAATTCACCATTTGCGAAACAGTCACAATACCTGGAACAGCAGGTGCAGAAGGCATTTGTAAATACAACCAGCACAGTGGTGTTTGTTCTGATGACAACTCTTAGTCTGGCAATATGCACGTGCTCCAATAAGGGTAAGGCTCACCCTATGCTCATCTTCACATGTACAACTGGTATCAGCCACAGGGCAAAGCATAAATCCTCTAGCACAGGTCTAGTTGCTTTCTAAAGACACAGATATAGCTCAAGGGTGTCTTGTCTGAGCTGATGTTCACATAGCATAAGTCCCCATAGCAAGAGAAGCTAACAAGACTTTTTTCTAGGGTGAGTCCTAAGTGGCTGACCCACACATTGAGGGCCATCCTGCCACAGCCACATCACAGCCAGTTCCTGACTCAGCCAGTTCAAGTCAGCCTTCAGGAGTTCTCAAGTAGCTGAAACAAAAGGCAAGTGACTGGAGTACAAATCAACAGAAAAAGTGACTAACACAGTGACGAGCCTTTTTTTTCAGTTTTGTCCATGATATGTTTGCAGCTGTGAACTGAGCAGATTTTGTGAAATGCTGGGGTTTGAACCCCGAGCCCTGAATTAAGGTTGACATATGGGTGATTCCCACAGCCCTTCATACAGAGGTGGTGAGTTTGCCTTATAGCTTCCCCCCAGGGTGCGGCCGGCCCTGCAGGGAGAGCCAGAAGGGAAATGAGCCCCAGGGGTCCCGCATTGAGTTGACAAAGCTCAGGTGTCTGCTTGGGGATAAAAGCTGGGACCACTTGCAGGGAGTCAGGAGTGTCTGTCTGTGGAGTGCACTCCACAGAGCTTCCTGGTTCAGGGCAGACCTCCTGACTCTCCCTGGAGCTGGGCCCTGGTCTGTTTAGGCCTTTGCGAACGCAGGTCGATTGGGTGAGAGTTGCCATGTGGGCACCTTTCTCTTATATGTTTAACTGGCTGGTCTGGCTGTTTCCCATGCCAACTATGGGCAACCTCAGTTCACTGTTTGTACCACCTGTTGTGGGCCGGGTCATGTCGTTTGTGGGATCGTTGGGGGTGGCGTCGATCATGTCTGAGCTTGTTGACTTGTTTGTACCCCCGGCGGTCATTCATACAGTAACATTTCTGTCTACAACACAGTCTGCGTATTGGTTCATCTCCCTGCTGGTGCTATCATTTTTGTTGGGCCTGGTCATTGGCAAAACATTTTGCCAAAGCAAGGATGAAAGAAAAGAAGTAACAAGTGGTACACCTCTTAGACTGTGATACACAGGTAACTAGGGGAAGGAAAAAGCAGCAAAACATTGCCAGGAAAAGCCAGTCATATTGCCATGCCTCTTATGTACCTCTGCTACCTCCCATCAAAACCAAGATCTCACCATCCCACAGATCTGATACAGGGAAGCACCACGTTCATCCCCAGCTCAAACACTGATTTTTGGTCATGACAAACTCTGGCACATTGCAGTGCTTCCAGTAACACCTCCAGCTATAGCTGATGGAAACTGCTGATCCTCTTCACTCCTGCTGGAAGTGTATGTTTGTTTTTAGGAGCCTAAATCCCTTGCAAAACCGGCTTCCTGTGGTTTGCCCTGGCTAACACTGCAAGAATGAGATTAGGGTTGCTTGAGCCCACTACAACCCTTCACCTGGCTGAATGGCATTTTTGTGATTTTTTAGTGTCCTGAATGATCCCACAGATAAGCTACCTGGAAAGCTTTTACAACCTGTAATAGCTCTCCTTTCTGTCCTGCTCACAAGTCAGTAGTGGCATGGTCCTGGTTTCCAAAACAAACAGCACCAGCACCAACCCAGAGCATCAGTGAGTAAATAACTTCTCTAGTTCTCTTCTTTTTAGAACAGGTTATGTGCCTACCTTCAACATCCATCTGGGAAAAAGCAACTCCCCTTCCAGAAAGGAAAAAGTTTTACTAGTGAGAAAGCACCTTTGCCAGAGTGAAGGAGCCATTTGCTCTGCATCAATGCCTGACCACTTAAAGATATAATGACAGTACTTTACCAGAAAAGTTTGTTTCCAAACAGCATTCTGACAGTGCAAAGCATCACCAGCTATGCCATTATTCTCCCAGAATTTCAGAGCTTGGCACTATGAAGTCAGTAATGTATGTTGTAAGACATCTGAAAAAACAGCCACACATCTTCCCATTTACTACATCTGTGCTACAGACAGTTTTGAGGCTAGGAAGCACAGGGCACATCTCCCCATAAAAAGGTGAGCTGTATTACATGAAAAGAGACCCAAGCGGAAAAGTTTAAACACGCTTCTTAACCTGGGTTCAGATACTGTTGCATCATTTCCCCTTTGAGTAGCACACCACCCATTTCCTCTTCGTTATCTAGGATTCAGACAATCATAGATTAATTTCAGTATTCCCTCTTGTTGTCCCAAACTGACTTTGTTTCTGGTTAAAGAAACTTAGCATCTCCTTGGCTTAAAATGCTGTTATGTCAGATTCTTACAAAGGCAATGAATGGAATAACGAAATATCTCACGAGGATGAGCAAGACTCAGATCTATCAGTGAAGAATCACTTGTCTATTAATAAATGCCCACCGATGGAATGTCATTTCACTCACATCAACAACAAAACTACAGCTGCTGAGAGGAATTGGCTCCATCATGCAACAAAGCTGTGAAGTTAGAAATTTATAAAAAGTTAGGGTCCATATAGCTCATGGGAATTGCAAAATTGCACAGACATCTCCACCAATATCAATAGCAACCTTAAATTATCACCTAGACAAAACATTTCTGACCTACTTAAGAATGTTGTGTTCTGATACTTGGCATAAAGTTGTGATGTCAAAAACAAGGCTACAAAAAACTCAAACAAGCTATACTTACAATTTCAAACACAGAGACTTAGTACAATTGCAAGGCTTCCTGGGGCGGTTTGCAGATTCAGAAGGAATTATTCTGTGGAAGGGAAAAAAGGCCATTTATATACACACATACTGTTTTATCAGTTTCTTCCTGTTTTAAATTCAAGTAAATAGCTTCTAACAAAAACTTAAAAAAAATTCTTTATATTCCCCTTGCATTAGGTTTTTGCTTGACTATGTTTAAGTAACTAAGCCTTTCCAACCCAGGAGGAGCTGGGTTCTTTGCTGCAAATCTGGCTGCATGCCTTAGGTAAAAATCAGGCTTAAACCTAGAGGAACCATCATAACTGGAATCAGGAAAAACTTCCCCAGAAACCCTCTACATGCAGGGGGAGTAGATTCAACCAAGGTTCACACAACATGATTGTGTCTTTCCTTTTGTTCCAACTGGAATTTAAAAAAGAAAAATAAAATAAATTTTATAAAAATCTAAAAAGAAAAGCTGCTCTGGAATAATGGGGAAGCAAGTCAAAACATGGTATTCAGTTTATAAATAAATGCTGTAATGATCAGACACAGTCTTTAACTGCTCTTTAAATTAATATTTTGTGTCACTCATCACTTTTGATGAGATTCATTCCATCCCTATCCAACGATTTCTGCATATAATACCAAGGAGATTAAATCAAACCCATTTGTTTAAATAACTGCTTCTGGATTTAGGATTAATTTGCATCAGCTGAGGTTACAGCAACAAAAAGCACCTCGGTGTTTACAATTTCTAGCAAATAACATAAAAGGACTGTGCAGAACAGCTAAGCCTGCTGGATTGGCAAAGGGAAAATAATACATGTTAGCTGTTATTTTCATCCTTAAATGAAAAATAATACAAGACTGGAAAAAAACAAAACCTCCTATAAGGCTCCATTTTAGGCTTTCATTCCATTTTGCTGTTTGGTTGCACTTCTGCGTGCGCCAAGCATCCAGCTCCTACACTGTCTAGCACCTCTTGACAGTAATGTCCAGAAATAGTTGATGCCTGTAGCTCCCAGGTGTTACTGATGCAACATGAATGAGCAACTGGGAGCTTTCAGGTCAACTTCCTGCTACATGAGTTGAAAAAACAAAGGAAAACACAGTTTTGGTCAAGAAACTAGCTCAACAGTCAGACAGACCCATGTCCTTCACTGAGAGGTGAACCCCACCACAGTATATTTGATTTTCTCAGAAAGTCTCCCAAACCAAACTACAACACCCCAGCTCCCACCCTTCCATATAACTGAACCGAAAGAAGATGCTAGTTCAGGTGCCTACACTGCAGTTGTGGGTTGTTTTTTTTTTTTTTCCCAAAACACTCACCCATTGAATGGCAGCCGTGCTTGGGACTGAATACTAGATGTCCCTGTAAAGCCAGTGTTGCTTGCTATAGATACATACGATGATTGTTGTAGCTAACAAAACAAAAAGGTTAATGCACAACATAAATTAAATGATACACAAGAAGATGTGTAGCTAGTCTTTTAATTAGCTTTCCAGATATTGTAATAAAAATAACATGCTTGTAAGCAACATTTTAGATAACTGTAGAACTTGCACCAAGCAACAACCTCCTGCCTCTGTACTTAGTATACAAACATTATTTTTTATTATATTTCTGTTCTCTATTACACTGTCTACAGCCATATGGATAACACAGACTACAAAAAGAAATAAATGTTCAGACCACAAAGAGTTTCAGCTCCTAAAAACATGCGAATTTTCCTCCTTTTCCTAAGCAACCCTGCCTGTAATAGACCAGGATCACTTCCTGCACAAATTACTTCAGTAGCTTTCTTAGTATACAAGCCACTTACTACAGAATTAAATAAAAGCAAGTAAAATGATTTACATTCAAAAGTCTTCACATACCTGGACCCACAGTTTGTTTTTCAAAAGAAAAAAAACCAAAACCTCCTAAGAACCTGCCAAATGATAATGTTTTGGGCTACCTTCTTTGGTATTTCCTACACAGAGCCATTTTCTCTGGCTGGGACAGGGTCTGAAGACAGACGGGCACATAAGACGATACGGACCCATTGGGGTGAGGTCAAAGGGGTCAGACTGCATCCAGAAACAAAACCTCTGAGGAGAGGTCCAAAACATGTTATTATTTAGTTTAAGGTTGGATTTGTGGAAGTGGCCTGAAAGGATACAGTAAAAGTCTTCAGGGTCAAACTGCAGCTCTGACAGAACCAGGAGGGAAATAGAAATGAGGCTGTTATCAGTAATGCCATGAGCTGACAGAGTCCTTGTTTGCACAGACTGGCTTGTCAGCCCTTATCAGAACGCTTCATTTATTCTCCCTTTTACTCTGAATGTTAGTCAGATCTTGGCAAAGAGCAAAAACCTAATCCCTAGACCTGGACTGGTGTCACTGGTACTCTCTGCTCCTGACCCCTGGTAATATGGTTTGCATAATAATGCCATTTTATAATGCAAGCAGCCATTCTCTGTGACTGAGTGGGTCACATATTTGTTCCCTTTCCCCTCATTATCAGGCCCTGAAGGTCCTGTAAACTAAGCAGACAAACTGGCCTCAACATTCCTAGGCACCAGGCTGGTTACTCCCTTCTTTACTGGCCTTAAAGACCTGGGACACCTGGATGACCAGGTGGTGGTGAAGATCCTGTCATAGAGCAGTGAAGTGTAACAGGACACAAAGCACCGTCTAGAAAATTGAGCAGTTACAAGCCCTAAGTGAGGTATTTGGACCGGAACTGTTGCTGGACAGACTCACGACCCCTGCCCTGTAAGCAGGGACATTTCCACTGCCATCTGCTTCTTCCAAGGACTGAGTGAATGACTCACTCTTCTATATGATTGTTGAGTCTAGATTACAATTGTTATATTGACAAAGCAAACCACCTACTAAGATGTGACATGATCTGCAAAGGGTCTAAGTGATTAGAAATTACCAAGTCAAGTTGTATTATAAATTCTGTACTATGCTACTTATAAGACTGTACAACACTGCTTATAGAAATCCTGTGCTACTCTTATTATAAATTCTATGTGATACTAACAAAAAAATTCTCTTAAGAAAAGCAAGCTTTAATTGCAAATATGATTTAGTGCTGCCATCATTCCGCCAAGGATCCCTAAAAAAAAAAATCTGTCTGTCCCCTTAGTGTCAGGTGACAGCTGAGGAGCAAAAACCTTCAAGAGGAAGGCAGCATGTTCCACAGCAGCACTATTTCCTTATTTATCTCCGGGTTAACACCATACCTGTGTGACATACTGAGCTGGAAGGACGGCATACCCGACGTTTCCTGTGCCAGGTGCTGGTGCCAGTACGGTGCCCGGTGGGAGGTTAGTAAGGTTGGGCTGGATCTGGGGCAGTGGAGTGGCTGGCATAATAAGTCTCTGTTGGGGCTGACTGGTAGTAACGATCTGGGAAGTTTGGTTGATTGGTTTGGGCACCACCTGGAGAGAAAAGAGGACTTCATGAAATCATTGCTTTGTTGATTCAGAACGCACTTCTATCAACAGAACATTTTCATTACAGTGATGAAACTGGACTTTTTCTACCATCCAGCCAAAATAAGTCAGGAATATGCCTTCTGCATTTCGGCTCACCTGTTTCACGGTCTGTGCCGGCACTATGGGAACAGACATCCGCACCGGGGCCGCGTTCACCACCACTGGCTTTGCTAGTGGCAATAAACAACATCACATTAACACACATTATTCACTCACAGGTCACAGTCTGGTGCTCCAGAGATTCACATGCACATAATGCTAAGGTACTTAACACTAACTGTGCACTGAGATTCTCTGACTGAACTCATGGCACAGAACTCTAATGTCTAAAGAACACCTCTGTAAACAGGTATTTGGCACCGGAGTGCATGCACACGTTCCACAGCAATAGCCTGGGTGCATTCTCTGGACATTGGACTTCCCTTGACAAGAGGAAAATACAAAAACCACAGCTTGGTTTGGTATCTTATTCCAGCAAAGCTCCAGAAAACACGGACAGAAAATAGCAGAAACATCTAGTGCTTCTAAAGCATTTTATGTGGAAGGATCTTCATGTTGCAGGAGTTTTGAGAATGTGTTTGTGGGCTGTCCCAGCTTCACACTTTTCATACAGAGGATCTGAGACTTGCCACAAGTCACCCACAAAGCTGGTAAACTAGGGAAAAGCAACCTAAAATGCTTCAAGGATTCAGGCCCACCTACAGAGTAATTTGACATACAGAGCATTTCCACATACAAACCAGAGCTGACAGTAGAATATTAAATTTATAGGGCTCTAATCACAAAACCA